GTACGTTTCTAGGTAAACGAATTCTGTTACATGATGTATGTTTCTAGGTAAATGAATTGTGTTTCATGTTGTACGTTTCTAGGTAAACGAATTCTGTTACATGATGTATGTTTCTAGGTAAATGAATTGTGTTTCATGTTGTACGTTTCTAGGTAAACGAATTGTGTTTGATGTACGTTTCTAGGTAAACGAATTGTGTTACATGATGTAAGTTTCTAGGTAAACGAATTGTGTTTCATGTTGTAAGTTTCTAGGTAAACGAATTGTGTTTCATGTTGTACGTTTCTAGGTAAACGAATTGTGTTTCATGTTGTACGTTTCTAGGTAAACAAATTGTGTTTCATGTTGTACATTTCTAGGTGAATGACACTGTGTACTACTTGCTTATAGCAAACCAGAGGAATTATCCAGTTAAGAAGCAGGGTATGTGCTGATACAACACACCTTTTAAATATTGATACCATTTTGATCCACTCTCTAAGGTTAATCATTAAAAACACTTACGTGGTATGTTATTAGAAATATTTTAGAATAGGTATATTTTATTGTGGTAATATAGTATACTAAAAATATTTAATAATAATACCATGGGGACCTCATACTTGTTATTGAGTATTTTCTTTTACCAAATATAACTGCTTAAGGCAGGCCTCAACAAATATTTTGAAATCTAGGAGCAGCCCAAAAACTCAGGAGCTAGGTAAGCCTAACCTAACTTCACTACCCTACTATTGCATAACCTTCACTAACTCTTCTACTATTACATAACCTTCACTAACTCTTCTACTATTGCATAACCTTCACTAACTCTTCTACTATTGCATAACCTTCACTAACTCTTCTACTATTGCATAACCTTCACTAACTCTTCTACTATTACATTAAGGGCAGACCTTTTCAGTCTCTTTCTTTTTTCTACTATTTGTATTTGTAACCAAAATAAATCTTGCAAAATCAGCCACCTTGATATTCCAGATTAAGGGCAGTGTCTTTAGTCTCATTCTTTATATGGGCACTTGATAAATCAGACAGCTATCTTTGTATGCTTGTACAGCATACTGCTAAATTCCAAACATCCCAGAAGGATGTCCAATATTCAAATACTTGCTATTCAAATTCAATGACGAGGAACCCACTTTGAGACTAATAATGGCTGGAGACGGCTTGAATGGGTAATGAAGAAAAACTTTAATATAAGTTTAACATAACAGCAAAGGTTTTGTCATCATCAAATACTTGCTATGTTTATTGGAGCACCTCTGAACCATATACAGGGCTAGATTTTAAGGAAATTTCCAGATTGTTCTTCAAACAACTTTGCCTGACCGAGGCTGTCCTAAAAAAACAACATAGATCCTCAAATAAAATCCAATTACGAGAATACTGATAAACAAGTACCCTAAAAAAAAGACCCAATTACAATTCTGATGTTTTTATACCTTATTTATTTCCAAAAAGTACAATTAATGTTTAGTTTGCAATTTTGCATCTTTATTCAACTAATTTTTGATGCCTTATTTCCTGAGAAGTTTCATTACATTGGAAGTAATAAGCCCAAGCCATGCTAATGTTACACAGTATTGTTACGACAGCAGAAGTCACACGATCCTGGTAACACATGATGAGGTTTTAGAAGGATCATGAAGGCTCGAGTGTTTGCCAGACGTCCTCTGTTTTATATATATATAAGCCCGGCAAATAAAGCTGAGGGGAGAAGTGACGGCATAGATAATTGCAGACGGTGAGATATAGAGACAGATAATCGAGTCAAGTGAGTGGTAGTGACCGTAAGTAAAGTGTGTGAATTGTTGTGAATTATAGAGTGTGTGTAAGTTAAAGTGACTGTGAAAATTAAGTGTAATGCAAAGTTGTATTGAGAAAGAATAAACTAGTTTTATTTAAGAAAGGACTTGTATTGCTGAAGTTTTTCGGAAAGAATTTTTACGGGAAATTAACAAACGACCAGAGACGTAACAGTATCTTAAGAAAACCAATAGTCAATGACATGTACAAGTTTTAAACAGAACAGCGATCTCTGCCAATCACGTTCTAACCAGCTTGGCCTGCTCATCAAGTACAGTAGAGTACAGCCTGTAGTAAGAATAGAGTTCCATCGAAACTCATACACATACTATACCATAATATGTACACAATGCCTGAGCACTGCACACGTACACACCGCTGATATGTATTGTCATTTCTACTTGTAGTTTGTATTGACCTGGAGAGGCAAAGCTAGCCTTATTTTATTTATTGTTATTCTGTTTTGTACTGATCAAAACTTTTATAAAATTTAGTTTGTAGTTATCATTATTTTGTTTTATTTAATTTGTGAATTAGTAGAACACGTGAAAAAGCACGAAGTATATCGTTAGTTAGAACCCTTAGAACAGCACAAATACATCATTAGTTAGAACCCGTTAAACAGCACTACCTTTAAATTTAAAGTTATTAGGATTTCCCCAAATTATCCCTTACCTTAAGCTATGCCTCAACAAATCTCGGACACCAGGTCGCCATGGCAAATACAAATTACATCATGGCACCTAGCATTTTCTCCCACTTTACTTGTTCATAAAGATGTGCTAAATAGAACTCGAATCTCAAACAGTTCTGGACTCTTGGAAGTCCGGAACTATTTTCACATTCTTTGAGTCCTAAATCAAACTTTCTATGATTTTAATGGTAGATTCAGCACTTCTTGTTTTTTCAGGAATGAAGAACTGTGGTTGTACATGTCACTGATTCTGTGTCATTTTGTTTTTCTTCTTTCTCTCAATTCAACTAATTAGTGCACTTGTTTAGACTCAGACGGGACCAAAGGCAGTCAAGATATTTAAGTTTCTTGTTTTAAATTATAATCTTTTTACTGTTGTTTAATCACATTATCGTAAAGAATTATAAAAGTTGTCACAATCATAACCATAAAAGCCTAGTGTTGACTGTTCACGCTCAATTTCTCCGAATTTCTTGAGTTACTTTTTCTAATATAATACTTCCTCCTTTGATTGCCCGTTCTCGTTTTAGTTAAATTTATTCACTAACATAGGCATAAATGGCTTCTAAATTTTAGCACTTTCTCTGCTATAGACATGAAAGTGCATTCCCACCCTATCAATTCCTGTGAAAATAAGTAAAAAATTAATGCAAGTCAATCCTTGGGAATTATTACAAAAACGCCTTTGTTAAAACATACTGAAGATACCAATTATCAATAGGGAAGAGGACAACACCCCAACATAACCTGAACATGCCTCTGTGGTTGAAGGATGCCCGCTGTACAGCATAGAACAGAGGACAACAACTGAAGTTGAGTGAAATCTTTAAGAAATTTTAATGTGTATTTTGTGTGTTTTTATATACTATGTTTTTATTCTTTAATCAAATAAAGTTAACCAAGCTACAACTATTTTGCATTCCTATCTTAACAGCCAAAAATAAAAGAGGCAAGGCTAGGCTTGAACCAGCCGACATACAGTTTATATGCATGTCAAATCCTGCATGCAAAAACCCCGGATATCATGCAACACCTGAACCATTGCAATCAAAATTAATTTATGAGTGACAACTTCTCCAAAACATGTAAATTAATTTTCTAGAATTGTAATGGCACAATTATTTTGAGAAAGTTTTGGGAAAAGAAAGAAAATACAGATAAGCAATGCACTAGTGTAGCTCCCATTTCCCGATACAAACAAGAGTTAGTGAAGGTTATGTAATAGTAATAACCTTCACTAACTCTTCGTAATAGTAGAAGAGTTAGTGAAGGTTATGTAATAGTAGAAGAGTTAGTGAGGTTATGTAATAGATTGCATAACCTTCACTAACTCTTCTATACAACCCTCACTAACTCTTCTACTACCATTGTACAACCCTCACTAACTCTTCTACTACCATTGCACAACCCTCACTAACTCTTCTACAACCATTGCATAACCTTCACTAACTCTTCTACAACCCATGTGTAGTATAACATTTAGTGAATGTTCACAGTTAAACAATAAATCACAATCAACATAACTGTTCTGAGGGGAGACTTGATTAAAACAATTTCTTCACAATTTTCACCAGCTACCCAAACTACTACAGAAGCTTCAACTGTTCAGGTACTAAGTAACTTTAATAAATAAACTTCAACTCTCCAACCACTATACATGAACTTGTCAGCTATTCTACTATAGTATAACCCTCACTAACTCTTCTACTACCATTGCACAACCTTCACTAACTCTTCTACTATAGTATAACCTTCACTAACTCTCCAACCACTATACATGAACTTGTCAGCTATTCTACTATAGTATAACCCTCACTAACTCTTCTACTACCATTGCACAACCCTCACTAACTCTTCTACTACCATTGCACAACCCTCACTAACTCTTCTACTACCATTGTGTATTATAATTTATCCTAGTACACATCCACATGTGGACTTGTACTTAGGATAAAATGTTATACTACACATATGGATGTGTACTTAGGATAAAATGTTATACTACACATGTGGATGTGTACTTAGGATAAAATGTTATACTACACATATGGATGTGTACTTAGGATAAAATGTTATACTACACATGTGGATGTGTACTTAGGATAAAATGTTATACTACACATGTGGATGTGTACTTAGGATAAAATGTTATACTACACATGTGGATGTGTACTTAGGATAAAATGTTATACTACACATGTGGATGTGTACTTAGGATAAAATGTTATACTACACATGTGGATGTGTTCTTAAGGTTATGCTAAACATTTTTCATCAAAGAAATGTCTAAGTGTTGGTGCTTGAATTTTTCAGATATTGTGAAGAATGTTTTGAAGGAGAAGTCAAAAACCTTTCCTTTGGTAATTCGGAAAGTCAAGTGCATTCTTCAACAGGTAAATTTGTTTTATACATACATATAAAATAGCTCCAGTAGTCTTTGTCTTGTTTGTAGTTTTACGTGTATGTACATGTTCAATAGCAGCAGTAGCCTGTGAGTTTTGTAGTTTTACGTGTATGTACATGTTCAATAGCGACAGTAGCCTGTGAGTTTTGTAGTTTTACGTGTATGTACATGTTCAATAGCGGCAGTAGCCTGTGAGTTTTGTAGTTTTACGTGT